GTTCTTTCTAAATTTACTGGGTTTGATTTCATAGGTGCTGAACCAAGGTACTATATCTCATTTATGACCTTGGTGGAGAGGACAATTATCCACAGCGAGCCAGCTCTAGACGTAGAGTCTAGGGTAAAGCAGTTCATAGAAGTGCTTAAGAAGTTCTAGGCATCACCTCTACAGAATCACCATGAAAAATCCCAGCAGGCTTCTTGGACAATGGGACTCTATTTTGATTTTAAGCCGTTGCATTGATTCAAAAGAAGATCTCGTCTTCAAAGGAGGTAACCAGCTCCACTGAAATCATAAGGAGAAAAACAAAGAGGGAAACACAGATTCACCCTTTCAGAAGTTTTGTTGTCTAGGAGAGATATGCTATTGTGTCTGTGCAAGAAAGCTTCAGGAAAGTTCTCCAGCAATTAGAGTTCTTACTGTTAGGATACCTACTGATACAGCATAAAAGCTATTTTTAAAAATGCCTCCAAATAAATCTTGTTAATATTCCACCTATCAGCAAAACAATGTTTTCCTGGATCAACCAACAAAGATGCTGTATTAAAACAGAAACTGGGACATTATTTTGGGTAGAAAATTATACCACACAGTATGAGAACTACACTATCGGGCACCTACCAAGTATGACAACTGCAACATGTTATTATCACAATACGTACTGAGAGGGATAGGAAGTATGAAGTATGGTGCTGTAATTTTTCTAAGTGTCAAAACAAGGTACAACTGCCAATAACGTTTTTTTAGACCAGCTAGACAGAAATCCACAGAAGCACAAGAACTCTTGAAATCACCCAGAACAACATGCAAGACTTGTTTCATTGTTAGTTCACTACTCCGTAATGTGTTTAAGTTCTGTACCTTTGCGAAGTTAAAAGAACAAATATTACGTATGACTTCAGAAATCAAAAGTTAAACATAAACGGAAAAACTTGTTCAAAAGAAGTAAAAGAGGCATCTAAAAGTTCAATCTGTACAGGTAGCATAAAGACTGCATAAAAACATCATACCGTCTTCTGAGAGGAAAAACATGCTAGACATGAATAGAAGGAGCCTAAGAGAAGATAAACAGGAATGTATCCTATAAAAACAAAAAAGAAAAAAAGCAGAAGTGCTCAAATGAGAAGGATAAGTCCCAGATCTGGTAGGGTACATAGAAAAACATAATAAGCATATCTAAAAATTAGACAGATTGATCTGAAACCAAAATAACCCTTTTTTGGGAGCAGGAAGCCTCATAAAAAAAACCTGCAGAACTAAAAGATAGCAAATATGAAACTGAAGATGTAGGACCCTTTTTATTACTTTCCATTACTGCTACATTGGTGAAGACCTGAAATTCATTAAATATTCACTTAGAGAGGTATAAAATCTGCAGAGAGAACAGATTTTTCTGATATTCTTGTATATCTCCGAAGGATTAAACAAAATACAAGTCTTGGTATTGACAGAGTCAAACCTTCAAGGGCTGACATCTAGTACAGAAAGAACTGATTTTGTCTCTATCCTGAAGTCTAGCAAGAAGAAAATGCAAAGCACCATTTGAACTACTTGAGTTTGATTTGGTGTGGTGACTTGTTTGATTTGGTGTGTGACTTGTGAACAGTATCTCTCAACTACTCACCAGTAACAGGCATTTGATGCATGCCCTTTAAAGTGCAAAGACAACCAGACATATTACTCTAGATTACAAATAACTGCTTTCAATCATGAAACAGCAGATACTCCCAAAAAAGAAAAATAGAGGATATTTAAAAAATAGAGGTACACCCTGCAAATTTAGTTAAAAGCGGTTCAAGGGCACCACACATACAGAGATCATTCTGAACCATAAGCATGCACACACTGTCACTAGACACCTATGGTCCTAATCACATATATATTCCATGGTCAGAGCACTACTGTGTCCTCTGTATTCGTGGCACAGTAAGTCCAGTTTGGATAGGCTTTAGACATCCTGGAATTACAAATTTCAGTCACAATACAAATACAGTACAAAGGAGAATTATTAATATGTTGTCAATTCTCCTGTGTAATGATGCCTTTTTCTCCGATGTTCAGTCTCAATCCTCTCTTTGATAATATTCTCTAATCCATATCTGTTTCCCAAAAGATGAACTAATGATGACAGACTGCACAGGACACTTCCTTTAGGTTATGACCGAGACATGAATAAAAGTTACACCTAACACACACACGTATCAACAGATACAGTAAAAATGCACTCATCACATGTTCGTTCTATCAGCTGCAAAACATTACCACAAACAGTACGTGCTCCTGTTATTTCCTGTCATTGTGCCAATCGCTTAAAAAGACCGTTGTCAAAAGCAATTCAGATCAATAAACCAAACATGTAACTATTGAATACAAAACTGTTTTATACAAGCCCCTTTGATGTAATACCAGAAAGGGGAAAAAGTCTAAACCATTAATATATCTGAAGCAACTTTCAGAACTCTGCCTCCCTTTACTGCCTGCTAAAGTTGGTCTTAAGTAATATACAAGTAATTAGTCATTAACATACAATCAATCAATCGCTAACATTTACTCATAAAGCATTCAAAATAGATTTCACCTTTATTTAATACAATTAACTAATGCTAACATTATGGCAAGAGCTCAAGGCAACATATCAATATATAAAATTATAGAATATTAATATATTATAGACACAAATCTCATAACAATTCTAAACTAATTTCTACTACTGTATCTTATGTTTTATTTATTTATATTAGTATATTAATAAACATTGAAACGCTAAGATTAGGTTTTATTTTTCAAACCAACATACCTGAAATGTAAAGCGATTCTTGTTGCAGCATGTTCCTTACAGAAGTTTATGAATACTAGCAGATTTATCCCGTATTTTACTGATAATTGAGAGGAATGACTTAAGTAGCGCAGGCGATACAGAATTATTCCTTGATAAATTGCAGAAATGGCAGGGCTCAGATAATCTTACTTTCTGCAAACGAGTTGATTACTCCATATACAATCTATCAACATGCAAATGAAGTCTGAATTCTTAGTCAGGAAGACAATTCACTGAAATAAGATTCCATTTGAAAAATTGACTTAAATTCATGGCCTCAGAATAGAATACTTGTCAACTGTGCCTTTTTCCCCCCCCCAGCTGCTTTCAGAGGATAGTAAGTGTCAATACTATGGGGAACGCCATGGTACTTGCCACAGTACCCAAGGCATGTGAAGTTACCATCTTCAAATATGAAGCCAAACTATTAGCTTACATAGATTAAAAAAAGACTATCCTATAGAGTTCCAACCAGCATGAACAAAATTTTTTATTAGCCACCACATGCTTTCTTTTGTCAATATAAAACAGATTTTACCATATTTAATAAATGGGAAAATACTGAAAGAATCCATGCAGACAACAGTTTTAAATAATGTTATCAACAGATATTTGAACTTCATGTAAACTTGGTATCTGGACAATTCTGTTTGTAGAAGGCCATGAAGTCCACCTCTGATTCATCAAATGCCATACAAGTATTAAATGCACTACAATTAAAATCTTCATCTCTCTAGACCAGCCTCCGTATCTTAGTCTCCTCTTCCTTTCACGTAAATAATTCAACCTATCTGTTCAATTTCAATTTCTTCTTGCTTTACATTTGAAGGTGGTTTTTTTTGCTTTGACTGCAAAATATGTCCGTATGCCTGCTTGACTTAATACAAGACAACGATAATGCACTGAGATTGTCTAATAAAACTCCTTTTATTCTAAAATTAAAAACCATCCACAAAACAGATTTTCATTTACTTGCATGTTTACCAAGTCAGCATCTTTCCTGTTTCCCAGTACTAGATATTATTGCCTTTTCTTTTTCCACACAATATTTAATTGCACTTGATCATAAGCCTTTTGTATGACTCTTCCAATTAGCTGTGTCCTACAGGGTAAGTCTTCCTGCAGGTACAAAAATTCTCCTTTCTCAAAAAGAAAACTACACTAATACCAGAATAGTCCTACTCATTAAGGAATATACTCCCAGAACAATGATACTACTCACTGAGTAAATGTGGGACATGCCAACATTAAGTCAATCATTTCTTAAGAAAAAAACAAATTTTACATTTGTTCCAGTTTAATTTTAAAATCAGTTTCACTCCTAACATATGAGTATCCATACACCCCCCTCCTCTCCAAGAATGGAGGCAGCAGACTGGATCCATTTGCTTTTAGTTCTTTTGTGTCAGAAAATGAAAATGTTAACAGAATGAGGAAAGCTAATGAGAAGGAGGAGGAAAGTTACAGTGAATTCCCCAAGGAGACTGCCAATAAAGACTGGTCATCTGCTCACCCCTAAGGCGGCAATCACACACAGCAACTTCATATGGATTTCTGCAGAAAATACTGGTCCTAAAGAACTATACATAAGTTTTTAAGTTAAATCGGAAAACAAAGCAGTGATACTCAGGTGACTTCAGCCACATGAAAATTCTCAATTCCCACATCCCACAGTTCCACAGTTTACTCATCAGAAGCTATAATACCTGAATTAAGTATTTTATTCTTTAAAAATTCAAGCTAGCTAGTTCAGAGACTTACTCAATTGTTAGAGAACTATTATTCAGTCAGTGAGATCTAGGGGTTCCCAATTATCTCAAAAATTTCTGAAAACAGATTTTTCAGCTTTCAATAGCATTGAACATATATATTAATACAAGTGTATAAATAAGTAACATATAAATATAAAGGAATATAAATAAAAACACAGTATTATCAATTTGAATCACAGATAATACACAGATAATCTTATGGTTCCCTCCAGCAAACATAAAAATTCTGATTCATAGCTAAGTCCGCACACCATAAAAACCATGCACTGTAACTCCATGACTGACAGCTGTGGAATTGAAGTATTACATTAATTCTAATCTAATGATGACTAGTAGACAAAGAAAACACAACAAACAAACTTTATATGATATGTAGGTATTTTATGAGTTGGTCAAACAAATCTTACCCCAGCAGAATTTTAGCATGAACCTCTTTGTTAGTCCTTGAGATTTCTCTCAAAGAGGTAATTTCTGCATCAAACCAAAATCCTCTTTCTTCTGGAGTCTCAACATTGTAGTTAACCATCACCACATCACCCACTTTTAGTTCACTCCACTTCAGAATGGTTCTTGCTCGCGGTCGAAGATTACTGGTGTCCATTTCTACTATGCCATTCTCTGGGTACCTTGAAAAATAAAATCAACAACAGTAATGATTACGACTCCTGTAACAGTAAGAAGTAAGACAGAGACAACATTTTTCAAAAGCATCAATTTTTAAATGTGCTTTGGGCATATAAGAAACATAGTATAAAAATCTGACCTAATATCCTTTTGAAAGTTTAGTTTTCATCTAAACACAGACTAGGAATTTGATTAATCTCAAACAGAAAAAAACCCACACCTCTATGACCTTTCTCTCTCAAAAAAAAATATAATTAAGTAAATCTATAAGCACTGGATGACTGATTGGAACATGATCAAGTTCAAGCTTTTAGCACATGTATGACCCTTGTTTGCTCTCAGTAAAGACAAAATTCTAATTAAAATGACAATGAAAAAGTACTGAAGATTAAAACGAGGTTTTTCAACTCAGCACATTTCTAATTTAGCTTCGCTTTCATGCATTTGTTACATTTCCATTAACTTCAATAACAACACATTTAGGACAGTTTTTTGTAAAAATTTGACCCTACAAGCACAGCATATCAAATTCATGTGGCCAATATAGTTCAAGTCCACATTCCATGCACCAAGTTTAAAAAAAAAAGTTTAACTACAAAATGTAGTGAGAAACAGAACAGAGTCTCAATGATATACATAAGCTAATAAACTGAAAATGTTTCTCCCTTTAAATTACAAAACCAAAAAATCTAGAAAGATAAATGTGAGAATCTTTGCTTCTCTTTACAACACACTTCTATTGGCAAAAAGTAGTAAGGAATAAAACATAAAAAAAAAAAATAATGGTTCCCTAAATCATAATTAAGAAATTTTGGTTGATTTGCTTTTCACTCAAACTTGGTGACTTTATACACAGTATTTTATATAATATTACCCACAAATTGCTAGCATTTATAAGAGATTGCTTTCTTCCTCCTGTGGTGGCGTATGCCATCACAGCACATACACAAAAATCAAAGAGTAATAATTTCTGAAGAGCTCCAATTCTTTTCCAAGCTTAGAAAGACTTATTTAGCAGAATTAAGATAGTGATATTTGATAGTACTACAACTAAAATTCCAGTGCAAGAATAAGCTTTTAAGATTTGAGATGTTCACTTTTCAGTTTAACACCACAGCCTTCTTAAATCTTGTGTATAAGGCAATTACTCAATGACAGTGAAGCCTGTATAGTTTGTCCATGTGCTGGAAAAACATCACAATATGGGCATGATGAAAACATTGCCTGCAGAAGAGAGCTAGCCTGTTACATAAAGTAAAAAGTAAGATGCTAGACTAAAACAGTGAAGTTCCTTTCTGATACTGTGTAAGCAAATAAAGAATCTTCCATCCTTTAACTAGTACTAGATGAGGTCACAGTAGAAAATTTAACAGAGAAAATTAAAGTAAGTCTACTGACTATAAGCAAGTGCCATTAAAATATTCATTCTTCCTTCTTAACAAACATTGCTGAGGGTGATATACCTTAAGTTACATTTCCATCATGCAATTATTGGTACTTTGACAACAACACTCATGCTTTATAGTTAATTTACCTTTATCAAACAGCACTGTTAAATCATAACAGCAAAATCCTGTCTTACTAGTAAAAGTATGGTTCTCACCTTCCAGCATACCTCCCTGTAGTAAACAAAATAATTTCAAGGTCTTGGGCAAATAACACATTGTAACTTGCTAGACTACTATATAAAGAAATATAAAAACTACTGTCGTTAACAGCATGAAGCTCTAACAAGGCTATATCCTGAAATCAGGATGTCTACTCCTGGACAGTTGATTGAAAGCCCACTGATGTAATTGGAAACATTTTAAGCAAGTTCGTTTTGCTTTGTTTTATGCTTTCTATTAAATCTAACACACCAGATTCCAACTACAGATAATGTGGGGCTGGGCTAGACCTGGCATTGTATCTCCAAACATTTCTTTGTCTTCTACCATGCATGTATCTAGTGTGCCTTAAATCTGTGGGAAGATTAATCTTTGTTTGTTTGTTTGTTTGTTTAAAGAAACATGAAGCAGAACAGTTTAAAAGTGGCTGTACCTTTAGATAAACCAGTGGCCAAGGAAAAAAAACGTACCCGTAACTACTTACAAAGTTAAATCAAGAGTGGTTTCCCCCCAAGATTTTCAGTTCCTAATCATAAAAATCTGCATGACAGGTGCTTGGGATTCAGCCATTATCCAAATGACAGTCTCATATGGTGTACCTCTCCACAGTTCATTTTTACTTGGTTTTGTTTCCAATTTGAGTGTGTACTGCAAAGCTGACATTTGTGGTTTTACGTTTGTCAGGCAGCTTTCCTTTAAAAGAACTATTATACAATTCTACTATAATAATTATGAATGTTTTAACTGTTAATATCCATAACAACCATAAGACAGATTCATCTACATGTAAGACAAAGCAAAAAGTAACTCTGGAGATAATGTCTATTTTCCTGAGTGCCTGTATAATGACACTGCATTATAGGACAACAGCCTACTGAAATCTTAAGACAGCTATGTTTGAGCTACTGGTCAGTTCCAGTCATCTTACAATAAACCCTTCCTAAATCTTGGAGAAGACAGCAAGTAGCACACAGTAAATGAAGATTCATTTTACTTGAACTCCAAAATGAAAATAGGGCTTAAGCATCAGGAAATTAAAGAAGATACAAAAAAAAAAATTAAAAAAATACATAATTTACGTATATAGTGATATAATCGAGTGAGATACACATGAGATCAGTGGGCTCATCAAAATAACTAATGCACATTAAAAAAATTCAAGTGTCACTATCAAAAAAAATGCCAAAACCACAATGTGTGACTTAAAACCGTTTATATTCATAGAAACTTAACTTTGATCAGAAAAATCTATTCTCTTCTGAAACTAAAATCCCTTCAGGTTCTGTTTCTCCTGCAAGACCTTTGGACAAATACATTTTTAACATAATGATTAAGAAATATTTTTTCCCAAAATCAGATGTCATCTTTCCCTCCCCTATACAACTCAGAACAGAATCTTTCCTAATGTACAGCTGAGGAACTTCAAAGATTGTCATTGTTAACAATGACTACACCTCTGTTCTTTGAAGTACCTGATGAAAGAACCCAAACAAACTAGAACAAGATCACTTACCAAAAGACACCCCCAAAGTCCCTTTTTACAGGCAGAAATAAACTAACTGCTCTCCAAAAAAAGAAAAGGAAGGCAGACTCTTCACTGAGTAAATTTTTCTTATTGGCTGGTCAGAAACTTAAGCTCAGAAACTTTGCAATAAAACAGATAGCTTGCAAACAGGTAAGATTTTCTGATGCAAAAGAATTCACCTTTCTTTTGCATCAGGTTCCAGACACTGAATGTTTTGATGCTGTGCATTCACACATAGAAACAGGCTTTTGTGAACATCGGTGAATGCTAGCAGATCTTTAACCATTCACGTTTGCACATAACTGACAGCCAAGGCAAAACAGCAGACACGGCATTTGTCACAAGTTTTTTGAGTTAGGCTCAAAATCGCAGTCACACTATAGATATTAAGCACAGTACCACTATTCATCAGTATACTACGTAATAAGTAAACAGTACTTCCCCAGTAAACTTGTGCCCTCAAATGTATCAATGCCACAATTTACCTAAGTATGAAAAAAACACTCACGCTACCTCCATCCATGTTCATTTTCTAGTTTTAACATGTTGTTTCGAAAAATCGTCCATTAACTTAAAACATAATCTCTTACGTATGCAAGAGTAATATTTAAATATAGTAACACAAAATGGGAATACATGGGCTTATTTACATAAACCAAAATGTAAAAAGTATTATTTCTAACAAGCCTCAAGAATAAAGTGAAAAACCCACTCCAACAAGCTATAATAAATGACTATTGTTAGACAGGAGTGTTTACTGAAAGTGTTTTCTTATTTATTGAGTTACTTTTAAAATCCTAAAATGACCCTCAAAAGAAAACAGAAACATTTTCACAGCAGTGTTCTAATTAGACTAGCATAAGTTTGGTACAGTTGAAATAAAGATGATATGAGACAACTCAACCTTAAAACAGTTGTAGATATTTTCTTGGGTTTTCCATGTTTTTCATGACACTTGGCATCTAATATTGAAAAAAAGTAGACATCATAACAGTAAGCATAACCGTAGACAGTTTAATGAATACCACCCATGAGAAGCCTCATATTCATCATTAAATTTTATTTCCCTGTAATATTTCTAACTGTAAATACTAACAATAGCATAGCAAGAATTTCTTAAGAATTCGTATCTGTGTAGACAGTTTCCATAGCAAAGAATTATTCATGAAGTAAAAATTCCAGTGTTTCTTGGAAATGTTTCTCATTCCTAAAACGTTCAAATACTAAAAAACACATTAGCTCTATGTCACAATATACACTACTCTGCTCGATTTACTGAGAACTTGCAACATAGCCTTCAACACTTTTCCCAGCTATTACTAAAACAACTGGAACTGTAGAGACAAAATTATTGAAACAAAAGTCAAGTATTCCCCATCCCCCCTCCACACTAGTATGGTAAGGAATGTTTGTTCAGATGTGCAATTTCTCAAATTGCTATTTTCCAATAATAATAGAAAGAAAGCATAATTTATCTTCCTAGTCAACAAACTCAGAAGAGAGTCAATTCAATTTGCACCCAGAAATGAAGGAATAAAAGGGCACAAATAAGAAAGAAAAGGAATGATCTCATAGAGGAGGTAAATCTAATTAAGAAGGTAAACCTGAATAAAAACTAAATTCACACCACCATCCCCCAAGAATTTGCTACTTAGGAAAATAATGAGTATAATGTTGCTGTAACATTTTGAGAAAGCAAATGACCCTATACTGTAAGCCACAATTATGAATTAAAAAAATAAATAAATTTAAATATCACTGGGATAATAAAGCTGTGTGTTTGCACTTCTAAAAGATGACCAGTAGCTCTGATAATCTGTTATTACAAGAAAAAGGTAACATATTTCAAAAGACAGAATGGAAGGAATAA